TCCCTGCCCTCAGCTCTGTCATGATGCTATCATCATTATTCACAGAGTCAGAGAGGCGGAAAATTACAACACACTCAAATTGTCTTTTCAGATGAATACACAGAGGGGGGAAACATGTTGTTGTTGTTGTTGTTTGAATTTGAATTGTTATTTGCGTATTTTCCAAACACCTGTAACTTCAGAAGAGTCAAACCAGGACATGCCACTTTCATTTAGTTTCATTTCAGCATCAGTTAGACAGAGTTTCAGACTGATGAGAGGCAGCATGACTGCCGAGTGTTGGATTTATGTGCACTACTGTCTGCTCTCAAAATGTAGTCTATCCAAAAATCCATCTGTGTGTTTTTTTGTTGTTGTAGCAGCTGCTACAGCAAGTCAACGACCAATGTTTGGAATTGTTTTGTTTGCATGTTTAATTGTTCAAGTTAAACAGGTTTTCAGAAATGAACATCCTGGCTGTCAGATGCGAAACAGTGTGGGAGTCTGGAGAGTTTGGGTGCGTTTGTAAAATGAACATTTAAATTGTGAGGAGTTGTTTAGTGCTGGGTGAGAGTATTGTGTGCATGTGTGCCTCGTGTTTGAGACAACATTTGAAGCTTGTAAAGGGTGGAAGAAGTATGTGTCGAGTGTGTGTGTGAGTACTTTACAGCTGAGTGTAGGTGTGCAGGCAGTAGTTAAGCCACACTAATGAGGAATGAGGATGAGCATTTCAGTCTTAATGAGATCCTGCTGTGACTGACAGCCTTATAACCACACATCCCTGCCTCACTGAAGCACTGTACTGCCTACACACACACACACACACACACACACACACACACACACACACACACACACACACACACACACACACACACACACACACACACACACACACACAATAACACCACCCAACCAATCTGTTTTGACCTACCGTACTCACCAAGACTGTTAAAACTCCTGGAAATGTGTAGCTTCATGTGTAAACACACTTTACTTTGACTCAGAGGCGCTGCTTCTCAACAGACAACACAAGGCTACTGCTTGGGGCCGGGGGCCAGTAAGGGGCCCCCAAGGGCTGACAAACTTTAAACCACAGCAGTCGCTCAAGCTGTGCACATTTTGCAATGACTGTAGGAAACCTCTGTAAGAGAACCCCTTCTGAAAACACTCCCTCTCGTTGGCCTGCTAAGCATCTCATGCATTATTTCTGTTAAAATCACTGAAGGAAAATGAACAGGAATTTTCTGCCTGAGAGTGAAAACAGCACAATGGTGGTTGGAGGGGCCCATAATAATTTTTTTCCTCGGGCCCCAACAGACTCTGGAATCGACTCTGCCTGGACTTTCTCCTTCCAGCCCTCTATTATTATACTTTTAAAGTCACGATTGTGTGATGTGTGAATGAAGCAGGAAATATTCAGGAAAATTCACTGCGAGCGAGCATTTGTAGGTGATGAATTTTAAACCAGACGACCAGTGGGATCTTTGGGCACATAATGCACAGAGTCATCAGTATTCCCACCGCAGCCTGTGCCCTGAACCTGTGCTGTAAATTAGAGCGTGTTTGAAGCTTTGTAAGGATGTGTCCTTGTGTACATACGTTTCTGAGTCTGCAGCTAAGTGCACGTTTGAGGCTGCCTCCTCTGCACACCCTGCCTCTGATTGACAGGCGCTCCCTGCCTGACCCCGATCCTTTGATTGGCAGAAAAATAATGGAGAAGTTGGGAGAGTCTGTGTGGGCGGATGCCAAGTTGAAAGAGTGTTAGAGGCGACTGTGAAACAGAGAAAGGTTGAAGAACAAGGGAACTTGGATGAGCACTTCATGTTCTGTTTTCTGTTTTAATCTTTGCTTTTTTTTTCCACATTACATCCTAAAAAATCACTTTGAGCTGTAGGTGATGTGTTGTGTGTTTCTGTTTGGATGCTGTGTTCAAATCTCTTTAATTCCACTCTTACTTGTTATTTGTTTTGCTCCCTGTGAAACATCAGGGTGATTTGGCTGTGATGCACAATCCCACTTCATCTATTTTCAATTATTTAAGTAGTAAAAGTGTCAAGAAATATTGGGAAATTGTGGGCTAAGGGTGACAAAAAAGGGCTTTAAGGTCACATATTATGCAAAATACACTTAACCATGTTTCTCTAACACTAATACGTGTCCCTAGTCTCTCTACAAACTCCCCAATGATGAGGAAAGTCCATCCTCTCCATCTTTGGCCTGCTCCACTTTTCAGAAAATGAGTGCGCAAACAGGCCATTAAGAGCAGTAACCCCTCCCTCAGGTGGTTGACCCTCCCACAGCTAGCCATTTCACTAAAATATTCTTTGTCAGCCACTGTGACCATGGCCAAGGTGAAACTATTCTTCTGCCATGACACTCAGAAATACTCACCTGCCACCTTCACTACTTGACCATCCGAGTCACCAGAAGAGGTTCTGGTGAGCTGCCAGGTGCTGGCTGAGCAGATACACCAGATGAATACATAAAGCACCAGCATTCATCTGACTCAGGTGGTCGTTTCCTTGCAGGATTTAATAGTGTGAATGCTGTGTTTGGAGCGGGGGAATTATTGAACATTTCATTTTGTTCTTATGCATCGTTGACTGCCAAATAAAAGCCATAAGACCCCAGAGATAGTCGGTGTTATTATGAGTGCTTTAGTGCTGCTGATGCTGCATAAACACCCACTACTTCTGTTATGGATATCATAAAACTTGTAAGGTATATCGCAGGGCATGTAAAAGCTCTTGAAAATTGGAAAAAGCTTAGTTAATCATGTATGTATTCATGGGTAGGAAAAAGCTTGAATTCAGATCACCAATAGTCACAAAAAAAGTTGTTTTCCCCCCGTTATAATCTTATTTTTCATGTACTCATTTATTCATTTATTGTCCATATTGTATATAAAATAATCCCAGCATCATATTTGTTGGTGTTCTGGTGCCTTTCACTAAAGCTGAGCAGAGTTGCCATGTGGTGGACACTGAAGCTTCAGTGTTTAGTCAGCTGTGAATCGGTCTGTAAACCTTTCTGCGTTCTAACCTCTCTCTATTTTTCAAAAGCATCTCCAATATTGATCCTAGTTTGAGCACGTTTCTGCTCGTGGAGCTTATTAGAAACATGCAGAGGCTTTTTAGGTCGGGTACAATCACTTCTGTCTGAACCAGTCCGCTTCCATCACTGCAACACCTGTTGGTTTGACCTGATAACTGGTCTCATATCTGGTAAACTGAGAGGTGTCCAAAACGGCCGTGTGGGGGGTGTCTTAAAACTGCCTACCTTCTCTGGTCCAAACAAAAACAGACCACTCAGGACCAGAATCTAAAGTTAGAAGGAGGACATACTGGCTGCTGCATTGTTGTCAGAGAAGCCAGCACTTCAACATAGCATGTTTCCTTAATGTCTGATCATATAGTAAGGTCCTTTTTTAATTTAAAACGGAAGATATTTTACAGATTGCTCCTTTAAAAATGTTATAAGAAACAATATGCTTGTTTCATAATTTTTTCCAAATGTAGTTTCATACACTCCAGTGTCCAATCACTAGCTGTCATTTTAATGACAGAAATCCAACTCATTCACCCTCATGTGCACTCACAGGCATTAACACACGCACGCACACCAGCGCTCACTCTGCCCTCAGTTCTGTCTCCAAGGTTGTTTGTGAGGTTTGCGCTTTCTCTGTGACAAAAGATGAATAATTCATCACTTCAATGGATTCTTCATCTTTCTCGCTCCTTTGCATATCTCTCTGTTTGCCTGTGGGCATGTTAATCACATGCAGGAAAGAATCTCTTTAGATGAGACACAAAGCAATCTGCTCAAATATCGGATATGATTAGATCAAGCTGAACAGATTTGAGGAGGATGAGGAATAATCTGGGGAAGTCAGAGCTTTAAAAAAAAAAAGAAACCTCTTTTAATCCAAGATTCTGGTGCAAAATATATTTTTACAATCCGACCAGGGGAGCTCCAAAGTGAAACTAACAGCTCCTTCCTGAAAACACCCGCCCACTTTATTACATCACTCAAAAGTTACTCTGAATACCTGCAGACCAACATAAAGTTCTCTTTGATATGATTAAACTCTTGAGCACAAACATCATTTACGTTTACTAAAATGTTTATGTATCTTCAGTTAGGTTGCCAACATGTCCATGCTTTGATACGCTACAACACCTCGTGTTTTAAAAGGAAAGAATTGCTTTTATTTTAATGATTAATAGTATTTCTGGGGTTGGGATGTATGTGTGGTTGCTATGGGCAGGATGGGGGTCGGGGAACGGTTTTGAAGTTTGATTGATGCTGACGTTTGCACAAATCCACTTTTGTACTTGTATGTTTGAGCTCTAGGGGGGTGAGGGCAAGAAAAGGGAAAAAGTGTGTAATATAATGATGTTTTTTCTAAAAAATGATCACAAAAAAAGTGTTAAAAAGTACCAAAATAAATAAATAAAAAAGCTACAGATCTTCAGTCATATTTGTAACAAACTGCTATGAGCCACAGATACTAAAATGTTCCAAACTTGTCTTTGCAGCGTTGGCAGTGTGCAGGAGTTCACCTGCAATTTTTGGTCATTAAAAACAAGAATTGACCCGATGTTTGGTGGCTAGGGTTTCTAATTTGGTTGCCATGGTATTAACAGGGTATAGATATATTTTTTTAATAGAAGCATAAAATAAAAATTCTGGTGCGTCAACGCTAATCTAAAGTATTTTGGATTTGTCGTAATCAGGCATTTCTCTTTTTTCTGCTTATATTATGAATAATGTTTTACATGTCAGTGCTTTCACTCGGGGATGTTAAAATATGAGTACATCAAGGGAAGGGTTTAAATGAAACAGGGAAATGACGGGAAGCATTCTGCTAATGTAATGTGAGGCTAAAGAAGAAAAGCACCATAGGTTCGGGTGAATACCTTTGAGACTTGGAGGCAAAGTGGAAATATGAATAATTCCTGTGAGACTTCTCATTTCTCTCTTTTTGAACACCTCTTGTCCCCTCTTTCTCTCTCCAGATCACACCTCTGTTGGAGGACTTGGGGACAGTTTCTACGAGTACCTGCTGAAGGCGTGGATCATGTCTGACAAGACCGATACAGAAGCCCGCAAGACCTACGACGACGCCATCGAGGTACAGTGAGAGCAGGAGGTTGTATCTTGTTGCTCATCGGCAACTAACCCGAAGAAATCGCTCTTAGTCTAGTTGCCATTAGTTAACCTTTTTTACTATACGACTGTGTGACATATATAATTGTGCCATCCCTCAATACTGCAGTGTTCTTAAGAAGAGAAAATTGTAGCTCTTATCACAGACACTTAAGACTGACATAATCATATCAACCCACGGGAAAGAAGCCCAGTTAGATTGAAGTCAGTCTATACATTGTGAGGAAAGGTTTACAGGGGTTAACAAGGTAACTCCATACCTTAAAAAGAGAGATTTACTTTTCCTCTTTTGAATAAAATAACTGAAAGTGTAGATTTAAGTGTACGAGAGTGTGCATAAAAGATCTCAAACGAGGGATTTGATTCTGCTCTCACACACACTCGGTTTTCTTCTGTTTGACCCTCTCCACCCTAGTACACACACTCAATGTCAATGCCCTTTACACACACTGTAACCTCATTATGCATACACACACATTCACATGCACATTCACACACACACACACACACACACACACATTCACACACACATTCACACACACACATACACACACACTTGATATTTGTTCATATCCTCCATGCACATTCTTGCTATAATTAATGTTTTCCCATCCCTCTTTTCTGACCTTAAATCTTCAACACCCCCCCCTCCCCTCGACCTCGTGAGCTGTTTCAATCACTTTCTGCCTACACACACACTCCCACGTATAAACACACTCAATTCTATTTTAACCTCAGTCCATTTTCTTCGGCCTGTCTTCCCTCAGTTTCCAAAAAACATCCATAAACACGTTCTATCGCCAACATCCTTGTTCACTGTCTCCCTCCCTCCAGGCCATCGAACGCCACCTGATTCGCAAATCAAACGGCGGTCTGACGTTCATTGGTGAGTGGAAGAACGGCCACCTGGAGAGGAAGATGGGCCACCTGGCTTGCTTTGCCGGCGGCATGTTCGCATTGGGCGCCGACGGCTCGCCTGACGACAAGGCAGGACACTACCTGCAGCTGGGCGCTGAGATCGCACACACCTGCCATGAGTCTTACGATAGGACAGGTGAGGCTGAACACACACACACACAATTTTGCGTGCGTGCGTGCGTGCGTGCGTGCGTGTGAGAGATCTGCATTATGACTGTATGTTAAGTTGTGTTTGCTTGTGTTAAGTCACGACTCGTGAGGTTGCCATAGCAACAAATGAAGCTGAGAGAGGGTGTGTGTGAAGGCAGAGAAAGAGAAGCTTCTGGGTTGGTGGCAGAGAGTTTGAAAGCAACAGTCAGGCTGTCTAAAACCAGCCTGTTGGTTGTTAATGAGCAGTCATTCAAGGCGTTCATTTAGTACCGGTTAGTGTGTGTGTGTGTGTGTTTAATCGTTTCGGCCCTTTCACCGCCTCCTCAGCCTCTCTGATTCTCCACAGTCAGACTCTTAATGGCTGTCACACTTAATTGGCAGGAAACACTCGTAAGATGTTGAAAAGTCTGTAAAATCAATGAGAAGGAGGCTTATTATCTCCTTACAGCGCACACATTCACATGGCCGTTATTTAATACCAGCTTTGACCCGTAATCAGCAGTCACCGAACCGTAAAGACAAACAAGGATAAAAGGATAGTGTTCATCTCCTCTTTGTTTTTACCTCTTTTTATCACCCACTTTTTCACCTTCCTTTCCTCCTTCCTTTTTCTCAACAAACCTTATGATATACTCCACATTTTTCATCTTTTCTCTTTTTTTTTCTCTGTTTCAATTAATCCTGTGTTGTCCTTTTTTTAAACTCCACTCTCTATCTTTCTCTTTTCCCACCTCGTCCCATATTCCCTTTACTCCCCCACACTCCCTTCATGTCTCTCTTTACGTCTCCTTCATGTCTCCTTCTCCTCTACTCCTCTTCACCTCCTCTTTTTTTTTTTTTGCTTTTTCTTCTCCTCCAGTTTTGAAGCTCGGCCCGGAAGCCTTCAAGTTCGACAGCGGCCTGGAGGCGGTGGCCGTGCGGCAGAACGAGAAGTACTACATCCTGCGGCCCGAGGTCATCGAGACCTACTGGTACATGTGGAGGTTCACCCACGATCCCAAGTATCGCCAGTGGGGCTGGGAGGCGGCACAGGTAAGCAACGCTCAGGTGTATTAACTTTAAAAGCACTAAAGGCACACTCACATTAGGCAATCTGTACCGTGCCCAAGAACCATTGACCACCATGGTCCAGTTCGTTTGACTAGTGTGAGTGCTTCGTCGAGTGCTACACTTCCTTAGCCCTAGGGAGACTCCTGGACTATGCAACCCCTTTTTTGAGTCCGCCTGTGACGTTAACTAAGCACGCATCATAATAACGTAAAGACATGTATGTGTTACGTCATGTACACGAGGTAACGGTGCTCAGGTCCGGTTAGTCCTGGAGCAGTGTGAGTGCGCCCTCAGCCATGATTGAGAAGGTCATATTAGAAGTTCCAGTATGTTAGATTTATGCTTCATTTACATGGATTCTGCTGACAGAAGATGGCAGCAGGGCATTAAAATGAAAGAATACCGAAACGTTGCAAGACAGTTTGCAGGAGTTCATCTTTAAGTGTTTGATGGACACATTGCTCTCCTATGCACCTGTCTTGTAAAGTGGATGTGCGAAGGTGTTTTCTAACATGATTGCTTGGGAACATATTAGCTGCTCAAGTTAAAATTTAACAATGGGAAACTTTCCTCAATCAACTTAGCTAAAGTTAATAAACGTAACTATAGTTTTGTCTTGTATCACCTTAAGACAGATTCTCTATACTGTAGCTACTCAGATGCAACCCCTCCACAAGGTATCAGTAAAGTCTGCACACTGCTCCTTCAAAACAAAGCTCATGTTTATTTTGAGAGTCAGGGATGTAATATTATTTCTGCACAAGGTTTCATAATGTGCACCAACAGGAAGGATCCGGTTAGATATCTGTTACGTTTGCTTTTCAGTTTCTTTTCAGAACGGAGGAAAATCTCCTCACAGGGCAAGTCGATGAAAAGTTCACCCCAAGAATAATCAGTTCTTGCTCTAATTTCAGAACAGAGGAGGGAGACGGGTGCAAAATGATAAAAAATCCAGCAGGTTTTAGGGGAAATGCAGTCTATTAAAGGAAAGTAATTAACCTGAAATTAAGTCAGACATGAATTCTAGGAGATCAAAAGGGGATTTACGAAATGAAACTGACAGAAAACTAGAGTTAAACCCAGACTTTTAAATTACACATGTTCAAAGTGATCCAAAGAACGTCTTCCAAAGTGTAACACGCAGAGTGCTCCGAGACCAGATCAAGACATTTAGGGATCGAGACTCAGTCAAGACTAAGACCAAGGGAGACCGAGACCAGACCAAGACATTTAGGGATCCAGACAAAGACAAAACCAAGACCGGTCTTGAGTACTTCAACACTAGCATTAGCAGATGCAATAAAATCACTGAGCAGTGATATAACCAGTCAAGAAATGCAAAATATTCACAAGTTTCAGGATCAAGTATATAACAACGAGCTGAGTTTGTTTGACTGAATCTGAAACTGTTAAGCCGACTATTCAGTCTGAAGGTCAGACTCTTTGTAATTATGAGCCCTCATTCTTTCTCTGCTGAAAAGCCACGAAGCAAAATAGAGAGCAGTTTTTCATGCCTTGCTACTGTGGTTATGACAACCCGGGCAGGGAGACATTTCAAACTGCATTCACCACTCCCCCTGCTCCAGACGGATACATGAAGAGTGCTCCCTCACAGTGTTGTGTATGGTCTCTTTGGGTCTCTGTGCAAAAAGTGTTTCAGTGTATAAAGTCATGACGGCTTCACCTTGTAGTCAACACATTCAATTTATCTGACTTGCTCAACTTTTTCCCGACTATGTCAAACAGATTGATGCATCAAATAGTTCAATCAGAATCCTTGATTTGACCAACTAAATATTTTAAATATTCATTTAAGTCAATTAATACAGTCCTTAATCCTTTATCAGATACGTGTCCTTATGTATCGGTAGTCCTTCATCTTATCTGTAGTCCATATGCTTATGTATTTGTAGTCCTTAATCACAAAGGTATCCTAATGTATCTGTAGTCCTTAATCACATACATATCTTTATGGATCTGTAGTCCATATCCTTATATACTTGAAGTCCTTAATCACATACATATATGGTTTTTGAAATTGTAACCTCAGTCTTAATGATTATTCAATTCAATTCAAAAAACTTTATTTGTCCCCGGAGGGCAATTCAAAAGCACACAGTGCAGTAAAATAACAACAGTGCAGGTAGATGAAACATTTTAACCTAAATATAAAGTGTCAATTTAAATACAACTTAAAGCTTAAACTTAACTTAAAATACAAAATATAAAAAGAGTAGATATAAGTGGACAGTGATCAGACTGACAGATGTAAACAGATGTAACCAGAACTATGTGCAGTAAACGAGAAATAAATATATATATACAGAGCTATGTGCTATATATGTCCTACTGTGTAAGTAGGCAAAACTAAATGATAAGTTATAAGGTGCGTGGCGAAAAATGGAACAACAGAACTAATATATACAATATAACTGTAAAGGTAAATATGAGATAAATAAAGTGACCGTAGTGCAATGATGGATAAGAAGCAACAGGAATAAAGTAACCAGAACTGATGAATACTGATATAAAATGGATAGAATAAAGTGATGTAGTGCATGAGACCCGATAAAGCAGAGGCTGTTGAGGTGCATGGCAAATAGGAAGGAAGTAAAACAGCAAAGTTCACAGCTAATATTGCAAAGCTTCCTGTAATATTGACTGTTAAACACAAAAAAACCTGATTTAAGCATGAAGTTTATATTGGGCTTGTAGAATTAAAGGTAGCGTAAGATTTCTGCAATAGTCATACATGCAACCGGTTGATAAAGGTTACTGTACGTTGAGGATATGAACATGTAGGGTAGAAAGTTTAGAGAATTAGTGTCTCTAAGGTGTGGTTAGTTAGTGTTTTGATCTGGAAGTGGAGCAGAAATGAAAAGCCCTCTCTGTCCTCTTCACTTCTCCTCTTTCTGACGGAGGATTAAGCAGCTCATCTTCCATTCACTTCCTCAATGTGTCTCCTCTGTCTGAATCTCAGGCGGCCTGCTCGTCAAAGATTTTTGTTTTCCCCCCTTTCACTGTTCTCCTACTCTCCTCTTTCTCCTGCCAATCTGCATGTCAGCTCCTTTTGCTCCATTTTTAAGCAGTGAAAGTTCTCGTCTTTGTTTCTCTGAGGGGGAGTGAGTGCAGACGCTCTCATGAGCAGAGTAAATACATCGGAGTGTGTTTGTGATATGTGAGTGACACATTAAAGAGCTGCTGCTGAAGGACTCATCATGGCTTCTCTTTAATTATTTCACATTGCATATAAACACAGAAACTAATGCAGAGGAGTCTTTATATTGATCTGACCTTGTTTAATGTTTAGCACACGTTTTGGTGAGCACATTTAATGTTTAGGAAACGATGTCTGACTGGGTTGACTATTGTTTCCATTTAATCCAGTGTCCTGGGGCGCTGGTGGCGCAGTGGTGCAGTGGCGCAGTTGTTAGTTCCTGCGTCCCGTGTATGGAAGCTGTAGTCTTCAAAGCGGGCGGTCCAGGTTCAAATCCGACTTGTGGCTCCTTTCCTGCATGTCGTTCACCTCTCTCTCTCTCTCTCTCTCTCTCTCTCTCTCTCCCCCATTTCTGACTCTATCCACTGTCCTATCTCTCAAATAAAGGCACAAAAAGCCCATAAATAAATCTTTAAAAAAATATATATTTTCAAATAGTCATCATCCATCCATTTTCTTGACCACTTTTCCCGTTCGGGGTCGCGGGGGGTTGGAGCTGATCCTAGCTGAGAGGCGGGGTTACACCATGGACTGTTCACAAGTCAATCACAGGGCTGACATAGAGACAGACTCAAATAGTCATCAAATAAAACAAAATCAAATACCAAAAAATATATATCGTTCTGGAGCTGGCTTACCTTTGGACAGAGTTGTATTTATATTTTTATAGTACTGAAAACTCATCCATTTTCATTTCTCTGTTAGGGTTTAAGTGTAGCGTTGTTATTCTCCAAGTGTTTTTAGTCGGCCTTCAGACTTGTGAACTAACTGCATACCTGCAAACAAAGAGCAGATTTCATATATTTTAGGCTAATAGCTCATGTTATCCTCTTTCTTTAATTTGCATCTTCTCTTCTATTGTTCATATTTTCCTTTATTTCTAATGTTCTTTGTCTCTTTCAAACACACAGTAACATTTTCACACAAAGCCCGACACTGTCCTACTCTCTTCATCTGTTGATCTCTTTCGCCCTCACTTACTGTACACACACACACCTACACACACACACAAACACACTTTTCTCTCAAACACCTGTGATCTTCTCTGCATGTTGCGTCACACACACTCCCCTCCGTACCCCAGCTGCATCCATCTGACGCATCAAAAACCTGCATCTGTCCGACATGCTTCCTCTTTTCACATCAGCCATGTAAACATTTTCTCGCCTTTACGTGTTGATTTGCGCACGTGTGTGTGTGTGTGTGTGTGTAGCATCTGTACTTGTGTGTCAGAGTGTGTGGCGGTGAAGTCGAGCTGCTGTAATGTGAAACGTGTCCTCGCTTAGCAGCTGCAGACACACTCTCCTCCTACAAGTACACTTTTATTGGGTAATTTATTTAGCACAGATGGTCCTGATGTCTGTGTCTGTGTGTGTGTGTGTGTGTGTGTGTTTTACATTTATAAGTACAGTTAAATAAACGAGATGTTCTGTAGTGAGAAGGTTAGAAGTTCCCAGACTGCTGAGCGTGTATTCAAGTGGAAATGTGACCTGTGTCTTAATGTCTTTTTAAGCAGCCAGACATAATAAAGGATACACTGAGCTTGATATAAGTGTGTGCGTGCGCGTGTGCGTGCACAGGCTGCAGTGGGGCTTCGGAAGGGCAAATGCATGTCTGGCGCAGCAGACCATTAATAGCGGGAATTACGGGTCCAAACTCGTCATGACGGAAATCTGCTGATAGCAAAATGGTCACTCCAGGACAGGATGGAGGGAGACTTGTGTGTGTGTGTGTGTGTGTGTGTGTGTGCGTGTGTGTGTGTGTGACATAGAGAGCGAAAGAGAGACAAGGACGTAGATAATTCTTTCAATTACATGCGTTAGTAGTGAAAGTCGATAAGGTATGAGCAGGAGAGCCACACAGACAGAATTTTTATGGACGTGCCAATTTCACCGTTAAAAGTCGTCACTGTAAATCAATAGAGCGCACAGGTAACGTCTGCCAGTCAGCAGCTGCACCAACGCTGCATTTGTAATGACTTATTACAGACTTGTGTGGATGCAGATGGGGGAGCACCTGTTCACAAATTAGATTTTTTTTTTTTTTTTACTCCTCCACTCCTGAAACAATGTCTTCCTGTATGTGAGAAGTTGCTGGATGTTTTGATCTTCAGATGATGTCACTGTTAGTCTACCTGATCATGCTTTGGATAAAATTGATCCTGATAATGAAACGTTTAGCTTTGCCATGATTGGACGCTGAGTTGGCCCTCTTAAAGATAGAGTCAGTAGCTTTATCCTAGAAAATAAAATAGACTTAAAAAGTCAAAAGTAATGCTGCTCAGTCATCACACTGGGCCTCCATACAGGGGTTCATTTATTTATAAAGCATGTCTTTATTTTATGAACGATACATGTTCTGCAAAGTGAGGCAGGAGAGTGACCTGATTGATAGGTGGGCGCTTTGTAACGGTTCATCAAGAGGCTTAAAACCCGCCTCAGCTCCAGCTCTCGTCTAGTCGTTAGGTTGACTGAAAGTTCTCCAGCAGGAACATAAGGGTGACATCACTCAGGCTTCATCCTTTGATATTTACAGTCCGTGGTTTTTATTCTGGATGTTTTTGTGGAGACGAGGAAGTTATCAGACTGTTTTAATTGTCCACATTCTGACTGGCTGTCCTCGCTGTTGTCGTTTTGTTGTTTTTGAAACGCTGACATCACTTCTGTTGTGCTCTGAGGATCAAAGATAAACCCTGGAAAGCAGAAATGAATAGACAGAGAGGGGATTTACATCACTATTCAAACCTCCTACAAAAGGAGCCTGAACGTGTCCTGAAAAGGCTGAACATCTTGTTTATTTTTATAAGGACTGTAAGGAAATTCAAACTTCTCCAATGTACCAAAAAAAAATCAGCCTGAATCTGAATGAAGCAAACAATCCACTCAATACACAGATCACACGCTGTTGTTTTGTCAATCACAGACAGCGAGTGAAAGAAATCAAAACAAAAGACGTGTTTAGAAAGAAACATCTCCCATTTTTCATTCAACCCTTTGGCATTTAGCAAAAATCAGATTCAGCGAGGGCAATCTGCCTGTAGAAACCTGAAATTACCTTGCAGATATGCAACAGCATCTTCAAATGCAGCGTAAAATAAAACACATGGGGAGTGTGTCCACTTTTCAATGAGCTGTCTGTGTTAGACCAGAGACAAAAAGCAAATGTTAGAAAATGAAATGTAAATGCAGGGGAAGCAAGGCGAGGCTTTTGTGCTAATCTTCTTTTCCTCCAGTTTTCTACGGCTGCTGTTTCCTGTGTGTGTCTCCGCAGGACTCGCTCTAATCTGTCACCAGCAAAGAAATTAATTATAGCATGCTTTTGAAGGCTTATTAAAATTGTGCTCTCCTCTCCCCACCCCCACCACCTTTTCTCCTGGCCCTTTTTCCCTCTTGCTTCTCCTTGTGTGTTTCTTCTTCTTTCGGATCCTCTTCTTATTCTTTTACCTTTTCTTTCCGACTTCTGTCCTTTTTCTGTTTCTCTTTTTCTGTGTTTCTACTTCTAAACTTGTATCTCCTTTTCTCTTCTTTTGTTTCCATCTCATACTCTTTTCTTGTCTGATCCTCTCTTTCCTCCTTCCTTGTCTCCTCCAGGCCATTGATAAGTTCTGCAGGGTGAGTGGAGGCTTCTCGGGGGTGAAGGACGTCTACTCCTCCAACCCGACCTACGACGATGTCCAGCAGAGCTTCTTCCTGGCCGAGACACTCAAGTAAGATTACACTGCACTGACAGATTGATTAATTATCATCTGTCCTTCTGTTGATTAATAAATCACTTCTGTGATTAATGCAATGATTTGGTGGGTAGTGGAGTGTCTGATTGAAGGAACTTGTCGTCCCAGATTGCAACAATTAGTGTCTTCTTTTTTTTTTTTTTTAAATCAAATTTATTAGAATAAATGAGAAGAAAACTATTTTTCTAAGAAGCAGCATGTGAGACAAAAACTTTCAAAAAATGAATTTAAATGGGCGAACAGCTTCAAAAGAAAGCGGTGAACCTTGACGATTTAAAGGATGTCTATCTTGTCTGATTTGGTCTGACTTTGATTCCCGGCAGACACAGGTTAAAAAAAAAGGTTAAGTGTGTTAAGTCACCAGACATTCATCCAAATACAACACAAGAGCTGTTGGTGGGTTTGTTTACAACACAGCCATGATTTCAAACGGAGAAGTCAGTCCCATTTTGGATCTTTTCCACCAACCGCGACTGCAGTCCTGTTTTTAGAACTTAAAGAAAGACACAAGTGGGACGATAGATAGCCAAGCAGTTATGACACGCGCACCACGTACAGAGGCTACAGTCCTCGTTATAGCAGCCGTAGTTAAGTCAATAAAAGTCACTGAAGGAAAAGGAAGAGAATGATCCGTCTGGGAGTGAAAAAGAAAAAGAAAGAGTGTCAGGACACTGGCAGACATAATGGTAATTGGAGGGGCCCCCAATTGATTTATGCCTAGGGCCCCAACAGACTCGAGGATTGCCACTGTCAACACTTACACTTAATGCACGATGTATGAGAAACTTAATTCAGCTGACGATCTAATGAGGCTTCTGCTCAAATAAAATGCCACACTACAAGGCAAAGGTGTACTTCATGACATCATTAAGCCTTTTTTCATACTCACAGTGAAACATGGACTAATGAAACTTAATAAACTACTCAAATATTCAAATTCAAATAACTTAATTTATCTGTTAGGAGCTTCAGTCTTGTGAAAAGCATCAGTGCAGCATAAAAACAAACCACAGATACACCAGTGAGTATCACATATCAACATCCAAAGTGCAACCTTCAAGTCCTGAGTGAGGGAAGCATAACAAATGATGCATGACAGATTTTAATAACCTTCTCATTGGCTGTTTTATATTCAACATTGGTTCAATTCATTGTTAATTCTGGTTCTTAAAGGGACAGTAGAACATTGACTCTCTGTACAATTGCTGGATGTCAGAATGAACCATCTAAAGTGACTAATTAGTGTTAACAAAGTATTTAAAGGCTGATAAATGTCTCTGCCTGTTCTGACATCTCTGTGGTTTGTCGTCTTCATCATCCTCATCTTCACTGATGGCCGAAGATAGGAGCTGCTCAGGATTCAGACAGTCAACCAGAGGGGGAAGAGAGGCCTTTAATGGCTCTCTGACTCCCCCTGCTGGCAGCAGTTTGAACGCCGTCTCTTCCTGGTGTTACTGTACATGTAAACAGACTGGATATTACAACATGTTCACAGTCGTAGCTGTCAATCAAACCATGCAAAAGGTCAAAGATAATCATAAAACAGCACACTCGGTGCTCTGTCAGCAGGATTCTGATGATCCAACCTTCTTTTTTTTTACTCAAATGTGTCAAAAATTATGAACCACAAAGTGTCAAATATCAGGAACATTTTTTATTTGGTGTGTAAGTCGTTAAAGGTCAGCCGTCACACCAGCACGTCGTTGACATTTGAATGGCTATGTGCGCCGCAGACTTCAGTGTCTATCTGTTCTCATTCTTTGTTCCTGCCGGCTACCAGCCAATCACATCACAGCAATACAGCAGCTCGGTGTCACACAGGCTGCTGATTAATAATAATAATAATACTTTAATTTATATAGTGCTTTCAACAAAATACAGTTTAAAAAACATTTCAGAAACTAAAAACAATTAAAAACACACTCGGACTCAGAAAAACATACAGAGAAATCATGACTCATACACAACAGTAAACAGATGGGTCTTTAGCTTTAATATTTTAAAAGTTAGTAGCAACACCTTAAAATCTGCTCTGGCATGAATAGGGAGCCAATGAAGAGAGGCCAACACCACCTGGGTAATGTGTTCATATCAGCAGGCTCCGGTCAGAACACGAGCTGCAGCGTTCTGAACCATCTGCAGACTTCAAAGACTTTTCTTTGACACCCCGACAAAAGGACATTACAGTAATCCAGCCTAGATGACACAAAGGCATGGATGAGGACTTCAGCGTCCTTAAATGACAAGATTGATCTGATCTTGGAGATGTTCCTTAGGATTGGCTAACTATGATTGTTGTAAAAATGTATAACCTGCTTCAGTTTTTGAGATTGGTTTAAATGTTTCTTGAAGAGTCAAACACAGTAGCAGGTATTGAATGAAAGCTCTACTCTTTGGACTCTGAACACAGGTGGATTTTAGAGAGAGAGAGAGAGATAGACTGAGAAGCCATCTTAAACACCAAGCAAAAACTAGAGGCAGGGCTTATGATGGGTGATTAGCTATCATTTCTCTGTATATTAACGTTGATTGGTGAGACATGCTTAGCTACAAATTCAGAATGTTGTTTGAAAAACCTGCGGGAAATGATTTGCAGTTTGTGGTCATTTAATTATTTCTTCTTCTTCTTCACCTTCCTCACCCGATCCCTTTCATTCACAACTTTCCCTCCCCCCCCCTAAACCCCATACATCCCAATCCCCCCTCAGGTACCTGTACCTGTTGTTCTCCAGCGACGACCTGATGCCGTTGGAGAGCTGGGTCTTCAACACGGAGGCTCACCCGCTTCCTGTCCTCCACCTGGGCAACATCACCCTGCCTGGCAGCGAGCCAGCTCAGCGGTAGACGGGCCCTTCAGTTCCTCCACTACAGCACCAGGGGGCACCCCCTGCCTGCCTGCCCCTCCTAAAAAACCTTAAAAAAAAAAAAACACCAACACTGGACAAAGTTACATTGAGCTCTCAGACTGCAGACATGACCCAGAGGAGACGGAGAGAGAGAGCCTGTGCAGCATGGAGACGACTTAAAGTCTTCTTCTCCTCTTTTACCTTTTACTTTCTGGACTCTCTCAGTCCGTCTCTCTGAGGGACGGTGGGTTCGCTGCTCAGCCTCACGACTGGCTTGAAACGACTCTTTTCTCTGAAAGACAGAGCTCCTAAACAGGAGGCTTTTTTGTTATTATTTTTAGTGTTTCTTTGAGATTTGACCAAACTTTTCCTCCCATATAGACTCGCAGAGAGTGCTCATGGGATTATTCTTGAAGGATCACTTAGTCAGTTTGACGCTGCGCTGACAGAAGTGACATTTCTACACACGGACAGACTTGAGGACTCTACAGGGTCTGTTAATGAGTTGTGTTTTTTCTTTCTGTTTGGACAAATCCTTAAAGGGGACACAGGGTTGAATCAAAGCCCCCCCCCCAACTCCTGTTTAATCTTCATCAGACAAACTTTCACCTGGAACTGTACTCAGCTCGTCACGTCATCAGTGCGGGGGCCAGTTATAATCACACACCTCCTCGTCTAATCCTCCTTGGACCATTGTAAGTGGAACAGTAGTACACAGGGACAGCAGCAGGCCTCCCCTCATCTTCCCTCGACATATTTCCAGCTTCTCTTCCACTTTGAGACGCCGCCGGGTCACAACTTTACCCCCCCTAAAAAAAAAAAAACACATTCTGCTGCTTCTCGTTTGGACGCTGCTTTTCAAACCATTCTCTCATCTTGTGCTTTCTCTCATTTCCCAACTTTTCATAGCTCAACCCGATTTATTTTTCTCTGTGAGATGAGGCGAGAACACAACCATGATTTAGTGTGAGTGTAAATGTGTGAGCGAGTGTGTGGTGGTTAAAATAACCTCTGCTGTAAATGATTTATCCATGCACTTTGTTTGGGGAAGAAGAGGTAAGTTAGAGGTGTGGTGCTGACAGAGATGAATAAATGAAGACCCTCCTGTGTCTCCCCACTGAGCCGCTATGACACATTGGTCTCTCTTCAAACCCATATCACCAGGTCGACTGCCTAACTCGAAAGTTATTTTCAGATTCTCTGACGTTCTCTGCTTTTATTTTCCATTTTTCATACCCTCTGCTCAAGCTTACATTTCAACCTCTACCTCTCCTACGCATCTTAAAAAGTCCTTCAGTGTTCAGGTTCCTCTGCCGACTCTGTGAACTCCTGCAGAGAATGAAAAATTAAAAGGCAATGACACTATTTTGAAACCTGGCCCTACTTTGACGTATTTGGATTTTTAATAACTATCAAAGTTTGGAATTGATCCAGGCTTGTTTGTTTGTGTTATTTAGTGACTTTGTGTTTTCTCAATTAAGACGCAATAACACAAAATAAAAAAAACACAGATTGAGGTAATGGTAGACCATCGACTCCCATGATCTGCAAGTAGAAAAAACAGTTTTATGAAGTCTGGTGGCTCTGAAACGCAGCGATATGACAGATGTTCCTGGTTTCAAAAAGTATCTTAATCTGTAAAAGAAAAGTCCATATCTGTAGATACTCCTGAACCAATCGGAGCCTGTCTGTGTTTAAAACAAGCCATGGGTTTACTTTCATTTTTATGGAAGCCCTAAGAGGACAAGCATCCATACATTTATCCAGACTATATTTGGATTTTCTTGAGATCTGACCTTCTATATATTGTTGCCTCGGGAATACACCGCTGGTTTCCCCTTGATTTTGAAATTGAATTTGATAAGGCATTCATTTCAGTAATTTTCTCAAAATCTCAAGAAATGTAGTTATCACGAGAGAACCAGCGTTGTTATAATAACATAAACATAAAGTTGTGATCCCGAGAAAACAACCGAAAATGACTTTATCTTACTTTATCACAGGAAAAGGAGTAAAATAAAATGTGTGGATGTCTACTTGTGGCTTCTGTAGATTCGGCACTTTTGCCTCTAAAATACTTTTTTTGCTGCCCATTTCAAAGCTTCAGATCGAAACTATTTACTGCAGCAACTTTTCAGACCATTACATGTTTTACACTCCAGAATATATCACGCTAAAATGGGTCTGGATTTAAGAGTCTCCAAAAATGTCACAATGTCCACATTTTGGAGAATCTTTCAAAAATGTTCTTATTTGGAATCATTTTACAATTTTGGGGGGTAAAGTGCTGAAATCTGATTTTTTTTTTTTTTTTTTTTTTGAGTTGAATTGTTTAATTTACACTTTCGAGCTGTAAACCGGTCTCGTTAGTTTGTAGTGAACAATCAGAACCTGCTCATGTAGAAATGGATCTGACCCTGTGACCCTCGTTTCCCCTCGCTTAATGCCATCAACATATCATCAAACATTGAATATCAATATCATTAAGAAGCTGAAGTATAGGAAAGCAAGATCAGTAAAATAAAGAGCAAATTTTCAAAAGTAGGGCTGGTTTAGATACAGACACAGCCTCTGCTGAGTCTTTGAAACGTCTCCTTCCTTTAAAGGTTCTACAGTCCGAGTACTGGACTCGCTCCGTATGGTGAGATTTATCAAGAGCTTGGCCTCGTTGAAAGAAGTCAGAGCCTCCGCCCACCAAGCTGTCTGCTCAGTTACCAGCACAGTCTCTGCCCGCAGTTATCGCTCCTGACACGACTCTCTCTCTGCAGCATCCAGAGCGGTGTGAGGGATTTACTGCTCGGGTTGTACAGATAACAGATCCTTAAGTCTGTGCAGCAGAATGAGGTTAGCAAAAGAGCCAAACAAGCTTCCACTCTACAGGTGGAAGACAGATTTACTACAAAGTTTACTCTCATTAATTTATCAAGCAATCAGCAGCTTTTCTAAGACTCTGCAAAAGACGCTGTGTGGGAAAATATGCTCATTTAGGCACCCATCTTTGCAGAAAAGATTTCAATCCTGTGCCATTAAAAGCTGCAGGTTTTGTCACAGAATATTTTGTGTAAGGCCCATCATCCAAAAACTCATTTTAAAACTCAAATACAAACACATTCATGACACCTAATTATTCGCTTTAAGATCAACTGGCAGAGACCAGAAGAAGAGTGTGTTGAGTAAAGACAAAGTATACTAAAACAGAAACCATTCATTACAGCTACACAAGATGACAACTTAACGTTTTTACGAGTGAGGCCGGGGGGAGTCCTGTTGAGGATTTATCGTCTCAAAATGCAGCAACACATGAGTCAGAGAGTGAGGTTGTTAATATGAAATAAGGAAATCAAGACGTGTTGTATCTTTTAACGCCAACGCCAAAAGCTACACAACATTAGCCAAATGTTTTTTTTCCATTATTTTTGTCCTTGAATAAAAGTTGGTAAGTTAAATTTAAAGATAGAAAATAGTCTTAATGATGGGCTCAGTGAAGCTGTGCAATGACCGTGCGTGTGTGTGTGTGTGTGTGCATGAGAGAGAAATGAGTGTGTCTGAGATCATTATAGCCCTGTTACCAGTTAGCATCAACATAAAATACAGAGGTGATGCTTGTCGACAGGCAAGGCGGCCAGTAATGCCATCTGGGAGCGGAGAAAATAAGGCAAAATGTTGAATCATCACTGCAACCAGCAAAAAAAAAAAAAGGAGGCTAGCGAGCCCCCTCCACATGCTGATGATGGTACCATAGCCCCGTTTCCACCAAGCGGTCCGGTCTGGTTCAGTACAGTTTGGTAAAGTAAACCCTGATCTTGCTTGTGTTTCCACAGTCAACCGTACTCTTACACATCAGTAAATCACAGCGGTGTGACGTCATGTAGACCACCAATAAATTAAACAAAGAAGAAGAATGTGACGGAGTAAAAACAAAGGGCCTCATTCACTAACTGTGCGTTGGAAGCACAAATCTGGGATTCATCAATACATTCTTACTCTGCGAACAAAAATAGAACTTCCTCAGACCATGCGTACGCACAAATGATTGATCAGCTTTCTCAGAAAATGTTAACACACACTCTTTTAACTAAATGCATGACGTTTAAAATACATAATATATGTATTTTTATATGTATATATATTTTTTTTTAAATGTTGAAAAGACAAGCATTAAAAATGTGAATTAACTAATGCATTGACTAAATGTATTAAATAATCATGAAATATTCGCCTTATCATCCTTTAATCTAAAATCTTAAATCTAATCGTCGACCTCTCCCACTAATATTGCCATGAAATATCGCATTTGTAACCAAAAACCAGCTGATTAATTGGAGCCTATTTAAGAGCTTGCAGGGAACATTCATGATTATGATTTACGTCAAACACAAGAGAGTTTAAAGATCTAGCCTTGCTGAAGCAAATTGCAGCCGGTGCCTTCAGAAGAGAGAGCATCAGACCATCAAAACACGTTTGAAGAGTGTGACGAATGACTGATCAGCTGATTCCGACTGCCAATGCACGTACTGCTGCAACCATGTCATTCACTGTAACGGCATCTAAGCCGCAGACACACCGATCTTTTAAGCCTTTTGGGGCCATCTCCTAAAAACTTCTAAAAAGTGTCTCCACCTCACCGCTCCCATCCTGATACACCAATCGGATGTCCTTACGTGGAGAGATGGGGGCGTGGTAGTATGCTGATTGCAGGTTTGCGAGCATGCGCCTGACGATTTAGAATGATTCTGATTCACTGTCATGCGCAAGATGGTGAAAACAAAATATGCTGGTACGCACGTGTCATGAATCTGACGGTGATTTTGCGTATGCACTTGTTTTATGCGCAGAGTAAGAACATTTCTACGCACATATTAGTGAATGAGGCCCAATGATTCCTAGGAAGGTCTGCATCTCTGAGGCGCTGGCAGGATATATCTGCAGGACATTTCAACATTTTGTGTTTGTCCTTTACTAAAGCTGTCACACGGGAAGTGAAGATTCTTTCGACCAATCAACGGACTGCAGGGTGTCTAGCTCCAACCTTTAGGGTCAGATTGATACACTTGGCGCCCCAACAGAAGGGTACCAAAAAAGTAGGACAGTACGGATCAGGTATTTTGTTACCCTTCCCAACTTTTGACAGTGAAAACACCAATAAATGTGTACTGAACTGAACCAGACCGCTTCATGGAAAGGGGGTTTATTGTGTATAACATGAAGGTGATGAACGCTGATTGGAGGGTCCCTGTAGATTTTTTGCCTCGGGCCCCAACAGACTCTAGAACCGCCACTGCCCATATTTCCAAACTTTTATCAGCTGACTGGTTCAGGTACAGAGATGAAAATAAGCTAAAGGGTAGGAATTGCACTTAACCAGGACAATTTTTTTGATCAAGCGTGTATGTGTGTGTGTGTGTGTGTGTGTGTGTGTGTGTGTGTGTTCAGTGTCTGACTGCTTCTTTTCAAGCCTTATTGTCAAATGTGGCGCCTTGGCCGATACTGTGCTTTTTCTTCACATTCTTTGCTTTATATTTTTCAATACACCATTACGATTAAATTCCTTTTTTGTTGTTTTTCTTTGTAGTGACATTTGCATGTGATGCGCAAAAACACATGCAGAACTGTGATGTAGTGAAAACAAGGAGGAAGACAAAGTTGATGCCCATGGGCAAAAGCTTTATGACTTTAATAAGCTTTAATATTTCATGTACATCAAACTGAAGTTCAGAATGACTCAAATCTTTCTATATCTCAAAACAAAAGCTGGTGTTTGATTTAAGCTGATGTCTAACCTTTCTGATTCTTAAAATGGAAATTAGAAACCAACAAATGGATTGAGTGACATTTTCCCAGCAAGTTCTGTTGGTGCAGCTGCTCTTTAAAAACTCAAACGTTTAACTTCAAATCAAAAGGATACATTTGGAGATGTTCTTTCCAGGTGTCTAAAAATCCAATGAAAGGACCAAATCCAGCTGTTTATGAATCTTAACGAATGAGTGTCCATCTTCAGCCTGATCGACAGCATCTTATCCCCATGTGGTGTCGCGCTCAGTTTTCCTCCCAAGACTATCAAAAACACATCCATGAGCACGCTCTGTGGCCTCACACATACCGCCCTTATGCCTCATATACTTCTGAAAACACCAAATATGTATTAACATAGTCATGAAAATGAATCCTAAACCAATGTACTGTTTCCCTGTTTGATGAACAAAAGCTTCAAACGGCAGTGTCACCCATACATTTGGTTTTCAGAAGTTTGAGATCATAGAAGGGGCAGTGTTTCGGTGTTGGTCTTTTAGAGCATGATATTACTATCTGCATTATACTAAAGCTCTATAGAGGTGGTTGTCTCTTGATTTGATACATATTGAGGTCCTGATTTGATAAACAGAGTACGTGTCAGTTGAGGACGTTTTACCAAAATGTTTATTTGGGATTAAAACAGCGTTCTCCAAATTTCTGGCCGACATTAATCTCAATCTTGAGCGAAGTTTATATTTATTAAATCTTCATTTCTTTATTTAAATGAAACAACAGCAGTCTTTGGGAGAAGGACCTCCTCACAATAAACCATAACAGCCTCCATCAGTGTAGAAACAAGATATTTCTCCTCCCCATCCTGCTGTTCAACACGTTTTATTTCATCCATCTTCATCCATCCATCTCTGGTGGCAGTAAACTCTTAACAGTCCGTTCATGCAGTACGGTCTCTGCTCTCAGCCCTCTATCACCCCGGTCCGTGACATCACGCTGACATCATCTCCATCTATATCTGATAGGGAGGAAGCCCAGGGGAAAGCTGGGCGGCCATGGAGTCGCTGGGACCGACGTTGATTTTGAAAAATTGAGTGTTCTGTATTTGTATTTTTACTGAGCTTAAAAAAAAAAAATCAAATTAAAGTATCTGTAAATATGTTTAAAACTGAGACACAAATTCAATAAAGATGTTATGAAAAGTGATCACAACTTGTGTTTTTGTTTGTTTAAAGGAACAGAGTTTACATTTTGTGTAGAAGATTGTTTGCAGCACACTGTCTTAACTTTTAAAAATATAAAGGTACTGGCAACTTTTCATTTCTACACCTTCATCACGCATCATGAGCAGAGTACAGAATAGCTACTGTAAAACACTTTTACAGGATTGAAAACAAAATAAATTTAGCAATAGATCCCAAAAAGTGCCAAAACTATGAACCTAACCACTCAATAAAAATCCTGTTAAACATCCCGATGAAGCTCTGACCTCTATATAATAAATGAATCAAAGGTTTGACATCATGATGAATAAAAGAGCTGTTCTCTGTCGCTGCTGCTCAGACGAGTTTGAAAGAACAAAAGTGTTGTGGGTTTTTGATTCTGCTCAGCCTGCTGTCACATCCGTGCAGGCTGCTGGTAGAAAGCTGCTCAGCGATTTGAACGAACACACAAACAGCTTCTTCCAAACTGGCAGCTCACTTACTAATAAGCACCTTTCTTTGTGGCAGCCTTTGTTATTCACAGACTGGTGTTTTTTTATAAAAAATTTTATTTATGCTGACACTGCATCCGTTCATGTTCAGAGCAACTCTCTGGTAAAAACACAATGTTCCCATCTGAGTCAACACAAACTGTAATTTACATTTTTTTTTACTCATTTGTATTTCAACCGAGGTGTAATATTCATAAGAAGCATGAATCTCAACTCTTTGTAAATACTCTGTGGGGATTTTATTTTCCTCTCAACCACGACCTAAAGTGAAACCAAAGTGACGTCTGTGTTTGCTGGTTCCAGAAACCGACAAACACCTGATCTCTGACAGCAAACAGCATATCTTTAATTTAACTTCCTGTCTTAAGTTTGTCTTTTGTTACTCCTGGCTCAGGCTGTGGAGGGTTTAGGGGCGGGTCTTACTAAACAACAAATTCATTTATAAAGAACTCATAACATCTTCATAAGGTAAAGACCGATAGAACAGGCCATGCATCAAAAAGTGTTGAAAAGTTTTGATTCTCATGTAAAAAATTATTTCTGTAGTCCTCCAAGCAGGCAGCCCGGGTTCAAATTTGACCTGAGGCTCCTTTCCCGCATGTCATTCCCCTCTCTCTCCCTGATGTCTGACTCAATATGTCCTGTCTCTAAAATAAAGGCACACAAAAAAAAAAACGAAAGTAGAAATTGGAAAGTGTGATTTTTGCAGCAGGAGCCGTACAGTCCTCTTCTGTGTTTGCGTCTCTCAGCGCCATCTGGTGTAAACTAGAAAATCTAAAAGCTCACTGTCTCATTCAGGGCAGGTTCATGTTTTCAATGAATTAGTCTTTTCTTATGTGGTTAATCCATAAATATATCTATTGCTATTTTTCTATGCTGCAAAGGTTATTTTATCTGGATGTAGCATTGTATTAGAAAAATGTTTATGGAGAGTTTGAGGTACAGTCGTCATAGCTGGATGTTCTCTCTCTTACCTTCTTGTTCTGATCACCTGAAGGTTTGTGTGTTAGAAAAAGCTTTTGGATGGCCTAAATTCAAGGTCTGTGTGTGTGTGTGTGTGTGTGTGTGTGTGTGTGTGTGTGTGTGTTGTGTGTTGTGTGTGTGTGTGTGTGTGTGTTGTGTGTGTGTGTGTGTTGTGTGTGTGTGTTGTGTGTGTGTGTGTGTGTGTCAGTCATAGATAGTCAGAGGGAAGGGAACAGGTGCTTCCTGCGATCCCCGTGTACAAACAGTTCCCTGATAATGCATATCATAAATATTGATGATCTCGTCAGTATTTCCGTGTGTGTGTGTGTGTGTTTACCTCTGCAGGTGGAGGTGTGCACTTTTATCCCACCTCATGTCGCAGGAAGACAAGATTGGCTTCTCACAGTTTCCAAGGCTATAAAAAAAAGCTGAGCATGAGTAACTTTTATGAATTGGAAATATTCCCTTTGACAAAGAAAATGTCCCTCTACAAGAGAGTTCCTGCTAAAACAGAATGATTTAAATTAAATTCCGGTTTCAGCCTTGGATGGTTTAAGTGCTAAACATGTGTGTGAATGTGTGTGTGTGTCCAGTTCCTGTGAACAAATCTACCTATTCTGATATTAGGGGAACTCTCCTGCGGTATTTGAACACAAAGCGTACACTGTACCACTCCTGCACATGTCGTGTAGCATCGCTGTATGACATTTAGCACTTACATCACCACTGCAGCAATCAGTCAGAGAGAAACCCAGCACACTGTTTCCATCACTGCTCAGGGAGTGATTTAAACGAACCATGATTCGCTCGACTTCAGTGCGTCACAATAACTTATTTTATTCCCTCATTTGAATCCTCCATGCACACTGCTCAACTAAGGCGGCTCTTCGTGTAAAATGACTCACACTCTTGTTTTATTTGGCACCGCAGCAGCAGCTGATAAGAGTCTGTATGTTCAGACAGTTGTTAGTTGTTAAAAGGAGGACTACACCTTCTTCTTCTACTGTTTTATTAAATGCAGTATGATCTATGTAACCTGTGTGAGCACAGATCTCCGATACAACTTTTTGGTTCTTTTCTCAGAATTGTAGTTTTTATATTTCCTGTGTGAAAAGGAGCTAATCTATCTCGTATTTTCAACCCAAAGCTGCTCAGAGCAAAAGAGAGAGAGCTTTGGTGATCCATTCAAACTCACAGGTCAGCAGATAGAGATGAGATGAGATTCAACTTTATTGTCATTACACATATACAAGTATAGAGTAACGAAATGAGGTTTGGCATCTCACCAGAAGTGCAAATAAGCAGAAAGTGCAAGAGTCTGTGCTATGTACAGTAATTACAAAATTTACAGATGTAGACTAAAAAAAGTGAATTATTAGGTATATATGGATGGCTGGATTAATGGGATGCTATAAATATAAATAAATGCTATAAATATAAGTGTATTCTTAGAATGCTGTCGAGTCCTTTTGGTGTTAAAGTCACACTTATGTCTCTTACAAACAGGGAGAAAAAAAGCAGAGGAGGTAACAATTTCTAGATTCGCACATACATTGGCAACATTTTGGAAACATTGCTAATGTATTTGCAGGAGTTTCACCGCAGTTTTTGATTAAAAAATAAGATATTAGGGGCTATAGTGGCCTAGTGGTTAGTTTGTGTGCCCCATGTACAGAGGCTGCAGTTCTCAGGGCGGGCAGCCCAAGATCAAATCCAACCAGTGGCTCTTTTGCAGCATGACATACCCCACTCTCCCTCTCCCTGATATCCAAATCTCCACTGTCCTATCTTTGTAATAAAGCCATAACAATCCCCCAAAATACGTCTTTAAAAAATAGAAGAATTGTCCAATATTTGGTCATTGTCATTGTGACAGGACAGCTGAAGACAGGAAATGTTGGGAGGAGAGAGTGGGGGTGACATGCAGCACAGGGCCGAGGTCGGATTGGACTTTTGCGGCCGCACACGGGACTTGTATTGTTGTTGCTATGGTAAAAAGTATCATATCAAAGATTTAAATGCTGGTATGGTGACAACACAAGAACAAATACTTTGAAGTTTGCACCCTGAAAAGGTTTCTTTTTCTGGTGACGGTTTTTCTTTGACCCTCTACATTCAGACACAAGTCTCCGTACGCTCGTCTTCATACATTTCCAAAACAGGCTTCTAACTTGTGTCTTAACCTCAAGGTTGATTTCAACCTAAATGGATGGAACGGTAACCCATAGAAAAGATGATTCATCTGCGTTCCAGCGTTCAGGACTGAGAAGACACCACATGGAAGATGAAGCGGAGAAAGACTGCAGTAAAGAGGCTTTACTTCAAGTAAATGGATTAAAGTGAACTACCAAACATGGTCGATGACATCAGAGCATAGTTATTATTTTCAGTATTTCTTTTGTTTTAATTAAAGTTGGAAAGATAGTCTGATAGCCTCTCCAATATGACCTGAGATGAACTTACAGAATCTGTTGGAGTAGAAATGAGCTCCTTTTCATTCGTGTCAGTCCGCTGAGACACACTCACACTCGTCTCTGGCTAATGTTTTCATGAGCCTGTTTCATGTCAGTTAGCATCTCCTGTTGGTTTAATTATGCTGATGATTAAAACAAGAATATAAAGACAGAGCTGAGTCACAGTCCTGTTTCCACTGACGTCCAAGATTTTAGAAATAGAAAGAAAAAAGTCCATGTGTTCCAGGAACAGATCTGTCTCTGCCTTGTTGTCGTCCAGACTGAGTGAGTGAGGTTATTAGAAAACAAGTCAAATGGTTGTTGGCATGTCGATGAAGGAACTACAGAAAAGTCTGCTGACATGCAGAGAGACTCGTCTGAACAACAGTAACAAAACAAGAGTTATCATCTCGTCTTGTGCTCCATCAGACTTCAGTCGATCACCGTCTACAGTTTTCATCACCTGTAAATACTCCTCTGTCTGTCTGTCTCCTATTCTGTTGATTTCATCTGAAGCCATCTCTCTTTCTTTTTTTGTTACCAGGATTATCTCTGTGGCTGTAATCGACCTCAGTGAGAGAGTCGGGGTTTCTCTTGCTCTGGTTGGGCTTCAGACATTGATGGGAAGAGCTTTTATCCTCATGAAGAAGCCAGACATCAAACTGATCTTTTGAGTTGCATATTCACTTTTTCTATTTTTACATGTGCACTTTACATTTGTGCATCCAAATAACTTGGTACACACTGAAAATGAAAGACTCAAAAAAGGATCAATTTGCAGACCGGTTATGTACTGTAAATTTTGGTTGACATTTAAGCTGAATATGTATAGAAATCTGGCTATAAACGTTTCAAATCTGTTTAGATGACTGTGTAACTGTCGAGTCTGTCTTTCCGCAGCAGTCCTCAAACATTTCCTTTTTATTATAAATCCATCCACAAGCGTCGGCATCATAATCATTATTATTCTTTAATCATAACTTATTTTCCTTTTTCCCCTCTTCTTTAATTTGACTCTTTCTTGTTTTTCTTTCTGTCACACCTTATTGAGTATGTGTTCTTGTTAGCGTCATTGT